CCCTCCCTTGTTGCTGCTGCCCCCCCCCCCCCGCCACTGCCGCAGGCGGCACCGGGCACGCTGGTGCCACTCCGCCACCCCCACCCCTCCGTCCCCCCGTTCCGTGCTCCCAAGTGCTCACTGGCTACTGTTGCTGCAGCCGCTGCAGCTACCCAGCAGCTGTCACGACCCACACGCAGAGCCGGCGCTCAATCGCACAACGCCGGGGCCACGACACCACAGAGCGCCACACCTCCCAAATGAGACAAACTATCTCAATCAAATACGCAAAACGACACAGGCATGAACGCACCCACAAAGAACCTCAAGGAAAAAAGCGGAAAGACACAGAAATGAAGAGACGGGACCCTCCCAAATCAAAACCCTCCACCAAGCATGCAGCCTTCAAGAGACAGATGACACACACACAAACTCAGCGGGAGACGGAGAGCCTTTGAACCAAAAAACACGACAATGTCGCTCACGTAATCTACCGTCGCGCCAGAAATAAACAACGGCTGGCAAAGCAAAAGTCAAACATTTAAATCAAGCCAAGAAAAGAAAAAAGCGTTGTATTTCACATTCGGCACACAGCCAATGCAGACAGACAAACACACACACACACACACACACACGCACACTACTATGGCCTACGATCGAGGGGCGGTGTACCTCACGCAGCAACACATGAGACACACCTAATTACCCCAAATTTGCGAAAAGAAGTCCGTCGCAGCACAACATGATAAAGCACACACACGCACATAAATATATATATATAGAGAGAGAGAGAAAGAAACAGATACGACAACACGTCCTCAATTGTACAACTTTTCCCAAGCAAATCTCATAATCCGTTAAAACCTAAAGAAAAAAAAAAATCACATTGCACAACGATGGAACAACAAAGTGCCCCTCAAAAAAAATTTAGACAAACCAAACAAACATTTTGCTACAATACACCAGCCCCTCAAAAACAAATACTACTCCCACACACCATCTGCAGCCTTACGGCGATCCTCCTCTAACTTCTTCATCGCAGCCTCACGTCCTGTCTTCAACTCCTCCCGCTGCTGCTGTGCAAGTTCCGCCTTCCGCCGAATCTCATCCTCACGCTTCTTCTGAGCAGCCTGGCGCTCCTCTTCCAGCAGCCGCTTCGCCTCCTCGGCCTCCTTCGCCTTCTTCTCCCTCTCCTGCTCCAGCTTCCTCCGGGCCTGCTTCGTCGCAAACTTGACCTTCTCAACGCGTGCCTTCTTCTCCTCGGCCTCGGCACGGCGGGCCTCGGCAAGCAGCTCCTCCGTCTCGGCCTGCAGCTGCTCCTTGGTATTCGCACGGTCCTCTTGCTGCTTCTTCTGCAGATCCTCCTTGCGGGCCTTCGACTCTTCCCGCCGCTGCTTCGCCAGTTCCGCTATGCGGCGCTCCTCCTCCTCACGCTTCTTCTGAGCATACTGGCGCTCCTCTTCCAGCAGCCGCTTCAGTTCTTCGGCCTCCTTCGCCTTCCTCTCTTTCTCCTGCTCCAGCTTCCTCCGGGAGCTCTCTTGCTCTTTTTTTATCCTGTTTGCCGTCATTTTGGCTTTCTCGGTCTGTCGGAGTCGGGCTTCATCAATTTTTCGTTGCAGTATGCGTTTCCGGCGGGGCTTAGACGAGTCGGAAACAGGTTCGGGGTTTGTAGCCGACCTGTTGTTTTTTGGAGGCGAAATATACGTTGTTTCGTTGTCTATTTCATTGGAGCAGTTTTTATTGCCGTTTTTGGTCATTTGTGCAGTGAACGTGTTGCTGAACGTACACTGATAATTGGTAAACGGAGGAAGTATGTACTAGTTTATTATGACAATTCTGAGAAAGGAATGAAATAAAGATAAACGGATGTATGAACAAAACAGTGATGCAACAAAAAAAAAAAACAGAGAAAAATAATGATGCTATTCGCCTTCCGCTCTCATTAGTCGGGGGGGC